CATACCAACCAGCAAAGCCATGGAGGACTCCATGGACCAGAAGACTTATCCCTAAATTAACCATCGGGACGATGGTCTTAAGGAGGGGGTAATGTTACAATTTTTCCTATTTTCTTTTTCTTTTTCCTCAGGGATGACCCCTATCTTTGCTTAGTCAGGGCATCTAGGACTGGCACTTAGGACGGGTGCTTAGGACCAGTGCTTAGAACTGTGGGAAAGCTTAGTCAGCAACCCAGTCGGTCTTGGTTCTACTGCACTGCTGTGTGCTGTAAAAAGAGAGACAATACTCTTTTTGTTCTCCAACTGCGGCACAGCAGTAACAGCACACAGCAGGACAATAGACTTTGTAGAGAGCTGAGTAACCACAGCAGTAACAGCAGCAGCAGCAGGAGTCATCTTTTGTGAACATTTATTTATAGTACGATACCAGAACAGTATATAAGTAGTGTAGCTCTTGCTGTAATACCCCAGCTTTGAGCTAAAGTTTATTCTTCACCATCCAATCTCGAGCGACTTGCAACTGCTTTGAACCACACTCTCTATCATCACATCAGTGAACTCAGTCAGTCTAACCTGAAGTGCGAGGTTCTGAACTGTTTATCACGTGTTGATAGTCACATGGAGTTTGGGCTTAACAGTATTCATGTCTACTATACATGCAAGAGATGATACAACTAGCACATAATGGAACAAGACTTGTTATTATACCTGGCTTGAGTGACAATTGGTAGAGTGCATGACTTAGCAACAGAATGATACCAGCAGGATCATGCTGCATGTGAAGTCCTAGCACTTGGCACTAAATACACTGATACAAGCACAGAGATGCACACTAATAATCAAAAGAATACAATCAAACTATGATTGGGACTTTGATCAGAACTTGACATCACATTGACTGATGATGCATAAGCATTGATGCACTAAGAGACATGCTCTAGACCAGATAAATAATGTGCAGCAATGTAAACACAAATATTTGGACAGTTGGCTGAGAGATATAAGGATGAGATAGAGTGACAATCATGAGAGATAAATCTGGCAGTCTAGAACAGATACCACATGTGGTCTAATTACTCTGAGGAGATAAGAAAGACAAAGAGACATGTGAGTGAGCTAACTAATGTCAAGTCACTTGAAAACAGTGGATCTGATTTTGAGTCAGAGCAGAACATGTGAGTCAAACTGTGACATGTGCAGGAATGACTCATGTAGAACTCTGAGAAGGAATTCTACATGTTAATAATATTATATTAGTTTGTATGAAATTATGCTACTGTAGAATAGTTAAATACCATAGGGTAAGAGTAGTATACAAGTTTCTGACCCCTATTGTTATGATGTCCTTGTGCTCTAGCCTCTGAGTTTAGTTTGTAACTTCAGATGAGAGAATAAACCTATATTGATATCATTTCTGAGTGATTTGAGTATCACATGAAGCATTGAAAGCTAACACAGGACTTGAGTCTCATTAAATAAATGGATTTGACTTGCAGAAATAGGTTTGTGGGGAAGATAACGAAGACAATGGAGCTCAGGATAGATTTTAATTAGAAGTTAATGTCGATGAAGCCATCGCGTACTGTTCTCTTTCTGCATGCGAGGAACACAGCTTAATGCTTTGCTCCAGAAACTGCCCAAAGTATGCCCCTCTCCAAGATCTCGTTTTGTACCGAGGTTCACCAATGATGATTACGGTAAGCGCCATGATGCCCCGTCAGAAGGATTATTATGCCAAACTACGCAAGGAACATTTTTTTCCTTCGAGGAAACGCCCGGGAACGGACAATACGGTCCCATCTCGTCCATTCTCATTCTATTGTTTGGAACCCGCCCCTGTGACGTCCGTACTATTAATTTTTTGGACCGCTGTCACGACTCAAGTGCATTTGTCGGCTTTGTATAACCGTTCTTCTCTCTGATGAGGGCATCTTGTGTTGTTCTGCGGAAACCGAGTCGTTCTCGGTCTTTGTTTCTCCTGAATCTATTTCTTTCATTCGAGAAATGATATTCCAGGCCTCCATTCCACATTCCAAATCTTTGCAGTACTCTTTGGCATACGGCCAACGACAAGGCCATCTTGATCCTTCGTTCCATGCATGGGCAAGTCTTTCATGCCCTGGCGAAGTGTCTTGCGTGCGCAAATAAACAACTTGGGCTGGTAACCTGCAGCCATGGCTGTAAATTTCAGGTCTGCGTACGTTCGAGTCATTGTTCCAATGGACCACCTAATTCCATTTAGTATTGTTATTGGATGGAAGTGAGCTAAATTTTCATGAATGTCGGTAAACTCCGTGCATTGTCCACCAATAGGTCTATCCGCTTTCCGAATAGTAATGTATCGCTGACTAGGAAACACAGGAATGAGTAAACTGATATCCAGATCCTAATCCATCCTCATATTTATCATTGCAGAAAAGTCTCTTGTCTCTCCGCTTCTTCCTGTTTCCTACATTGCCTGGTAAAAGAGGCGCGTATCACGTATAACAGCTCTCAAGAGGAGCCGCGACTGAGATCTGATATGCAGTTCATTGTCTTAGCGTTACTGATTCACGCCCGCGGCAGGTTCGTATGAATATAACAGGTTAAATCAGATTCAAAGTTCGAATGAGTCCTCGTCCTTTTCTTCCTTCGATCATATTATTGTGCAGTTCTTGGCTGGAACTGAGGTCATTTAGCATGGCGCAACGTCCGCAGATTCCGATTGGCTGCATATTTTGGACCGTTCGCTGAGACAACGGTGCCAAAAGCGTTTCCATCAAGGACTTCGAAAGTGCGGTCCAACGCGAGAGGAAGAAGAGGATACCACATCTATTGTTATTATGCTGGGTGGAAGTGGATGTTTTTGCCTGGTTCTAAACGTATAGCTTATTGTGTACTAAGATCCTCTTTTCGGGAGAAGACCAGTCGTAGAGATCTCTCTTGATCGGTTAGCGTTGTTCCTTAGTCCATCGCTATGCTAATAAGTTCGCAAGACTGAGGCTACCTCATTAAGCGATGATTAAACCGCGTGTTTTGTTCCCAAAACCATCTTAATAACATAGACTGAGCAATTTCCCAGCCTCGTGAAACGTTCGTGAGTAATCAGATGCTTGGGTGGTAGTTTCTTTGATTTGAAACTGATATGCAGCGACACCATCTTGTAAGATGCCTTAGTTGCGCCGACAACGAAGTCCGTACTAGTTACGTCCATCTGAATGATCAGCGTCGGCGCTTGCGGACCTCACATTCTATTCAATACAAATACATGCTCGGATAATTCTCTCTTGGAAAATTACGCCCCTTCTGATTCACTTTTTTGGTCCAAATGTGATTCACCTCACCTTGATTCGATCTCCATACAGCGTACAACGGTAACCCTTAGATAAACATTGTTTTCCTTGGACTCGAGACGGGTATCCAGTCATCACCATCGAGGATTACATCTGCACAATGACTTACGTGTCCATATCCCCCAGCTATGGTAATAGATATTAATGGTAACCCCCCCCCAATGACAGGAAGTGCAAGCGCTGTAGCATCAAAGGTCATAAATGATAAATGACTTACATGTCGCAGCCTCGTCTGCAAAGGTAGACCTGGCGTGGAATACTATCTTCCACCGTCGCTTGCATTTTATCAGGCGGTGCAGGCTAAGTCGTTCAGGCAGAAGTGCGTGGAAGTGATTATAGTATCGGAGCTAACGGCCGGCGGTGACTGCCGGTGGCAGGCTCAGAGCACATGATGTAAGGCGTCTCTCTTTTTGATGCATTACTAGCACCCGGCTTTACTACTTCCTGTTCCTGTTACTCCGACTCGCTCGTAACGCATAGTATAACGTTTATCTCCATTTTACATGTCCATCGATAAATTCAGACTCCAGAGGTGAATCAGATGGATTCCAGTGAGCCGTTCTCTTCTGTCCCCAATACATCCGAATCGGAATGATTTCCTTCCGAAAAGAGTCATAGATGCAATCCACACGTATCCATGATACTTCATGCTCGAACAGAAAACTTTCAGCAGCAAATCTATTGGGAACTCGTCAATGTGTGCATCACCCATTCATTTTCATGATTGTGGCTTTTTTTTCGGCGCTGTTTTCGTAGGTCCTCATTTTGCGTACGAATGATGTTACCTGACTATTTCTGTTCCATTAAAATCTAAGGTTTTGATTATACATGTAAATCAATCTTCCGGTGAAATCTTCGTTGGCCGTGCGTGAGTCATGTCAAGGAATGACACAATCAATGAACAGCCTCTTATCGCATATCAAAATGATGCACGATCGTGCTGGAAGATGCGATTCTCCGCACTCTATATATTCTGGACAAACTATGGAACCATCATCTTTTGAATGACATGAAGCACGTACATTGTAACTGAGCTATTGTCGTAGGTCGCAGTACGTGGCTTACACAGTCCGGCCTACTTATTCCCTTACCTTCCTAGATTTCCAACAGACTGGGACTACAGGAGATTTTTTTCCGTCTCGTTGCTGGAACGGCGCGACTACCTGATTATCAGTAATGAATTCACCAAAGCAAACAGATAGCATATCTCCGATCAGCAAGCACAAAGCCGGGGGTGTGATCGTTGCGAAACGAAAAATGAACGATGAACAAGTCAATAGGCTCCCTCCTTATATGGACAGAGAGCAGTATCACGCGTGGCAAAGTTTCATCTGTTGAGGTCTTGTCAAATGCTGATTCACGATTTCAGATGAACCAATATGTGATCGTCTGCTTGTATCCACTACTTTCCGGGAAGATTGTGGCTTCTAACGGCTGCAATATCGACGATGTTTCAAATCGTGGTACCGTCTGATTGTTTCTCAACATCTTCGACTATTTTCCTAAGGTAGAATATTTACTATATCACACGTGCTGCAACCTGCTGACGAGATGTTTCTTTCTGTGTGTAGAATGTTCCCCGTTTCCGGCGCCATCATCACGCCTGTAGCATCTTCCGGTAGCAGCTGCTTGTTGTGAGCATACCATGAAACCATTCATAGATCAACCGTTACTGATATCATATCATAGCCATCTATACTTTCCAGTACTCGAAACTTGATGAGGCACGCTCGAAAGGGTATTCCCCACCCCAGGATTCAACATCCAACAAACTTTCCTTGACAGCATTCCGGAGCTCTCTCGCCGCTTCGCAAGCCATGGCATAGTCATCGACACGTCCTCCTTCGAGCTCTTCCTTCGAACTCTGTAAGCCCGTGATATCAGCATCTCCATCAGTGTATCCTTCCGACACGAATACGTACTTGGATAGCTTGACAAATATCCGCATCGACGTTTACAAGTATATTGGCTACTTCGCTCTCATTGTTCCATCTAAGTCCGATGGTCGCACGGACTACCACAGCTAGGATTACCAAGCTTGTGAAGCCAAGACCGGCACCAAAGAGGCAACGAGCACGACGCAATGCCTCCTGGAGGTACTCCGATGGATATATACTTCCATCGTGAGCGTCTCGGTTGAAGAGGGGCCCTTGAACTGGGTCAGTGGTAGCACCAGATCGTTGCAAACGGTTACGGGCGGCCTCGGAGAAGGTGGAGCCAATGTTCGGTATTCCGGATCCAACGAGATTTCTGATGATACTACGCAGGCTGAGTACTAACAAGTTAGCGTCATTAACCCGAGGTCGTATTAAAGTGTACTGACTCGTCGACCTGGGCGTTTGCGATAAACGTGTCCACCATCAAGTTCCTGCGAGAGCATCAGCCACAGCCCTGTTGTCATCTGAAACAATGCTTACACATGTCCCAGTGCTGGTCGGACGGTCAGAGATGCATCTGGAGCTGGCATGTTGTCTCGTTCAAAGAGTCTGCGAATCCGATATCGTTTCATCCACGGGTCATATCATCTTATAAGGTTGACCAATGCGCTGTGTCGGAGTTCTCCTTCCGGAGCACAAGGATCTCGCCTCCCAAATGGGTCTTTTCATCATCTGGCGGCAGAACTGAGGCCAAACCGGCCAAATCTTTGATCACCGTAAGTATTGCAATTCATCTCAGAACCAAAAATCTGCCCCTTCTATTCCGATAAAGCCTTCTTAGAATCGACACTATCACCCTTGTCCTACCTGTTCTTGATGTTTCAGCAAGCATGCCCGAGGCAGACCGATCCGACCTTTTCATATAAATACTTACGGCGCAAAAGTTGCGGAATTCTCGGTCTTCGTGGAGCCCTGACTATACTTATAACACTGGCGTTGCGTTCGATCTCTTCAATCCATGACCTCCTTTGAAACATTTCGTCTCGGTCCCATCCAGGCTCCTCGAGTATGGACCGGGCTGTGGCAATTATCGAGTAACGCCTGGGGAACTGCGTCTGCTACCAAGATCCGGCAAGCGATGTCTCGCTATGTCGAATCAGGGTACACCGCTTTTGGTATGTCTCTTCACATCTGTTCATGATACCCGGGAGTGATCTGGATTTCACAGACATGGTACAATATTTCTTCTGATCTTTTATTGATATCTCTTACCGTCTTCCCTTTCCCCAAATATTACAGGGTGAGACTTTGCTCTATGATGTTTTCATCATTGAGCCACATAATGTGTGATAGCGGACCACTATGGAAGCGCGGAGATTGTATTTGTAAGGAAATCTCACGCCGATGATATATCAATGTCTCACTAATAATCCTCGGACAGGGTCAATTTCGACAAAGCCAGCGTTGTCCGTCTGACATCATTGGAGCAACGAAATGGTGCGTATTCAAGACCATCACGCCCACCCGAGACGTAGTCGAGACCGCTGTGCGGGAGCGCATGGAAAGGATGAAAACAGATTACATCGACCTTCTCCAGGTATAGCTGGACTCTCTTGACACCACCTCCTTGCCTAATTCTTCCCTCCACAGTTCCATTGGCAAGATTATGGGGATAAGGGATACCTTCCAACACTCCAAATCCTTGAAGATCTTCGAAATAATGGTTTCATATCGGCGATCGGGCTTTGCAATTTCGACGCTATTCATACAGACGAGATTTGTGCTCAACTGGGGCAGGGCGTCGTTGTATCTAATCAAGTTCAGGTGATACCCCTTCGGCCGGCAGATTTGAGCTGTAAACCATTTATGTTGCTCTTTACAGTTTTCGTTGATTGATACACGCCCTCTTCATGGCATGTCGGATGTTTGTGACAAACACGGCCTGAAGCTCTTAACATATGGAACCGTGGTGAGCATCTTCTTGATCTCTGTTTCGTTGTCGTGATGGCTTTGTTAAATTCAGTGTGGCGGTTTCCTCGCCGACAAGTGGCTTAATCAGCCAGAGCCAGATTCTTACGCTGGCAATCTTACGCCCTCTCAACGAAAGGTACCGTCTTTTTCCGCGCTTCTACCCACAGGCTCATCCCGTCCATTGAAATATAGTACCTCGACATGATTGTGAAGGCCTGGGGTGACTGGTCGCTATTCCAGTCGCTTCTCTCAGTACTGCGTATCATCGGTGATCGCCATGGAGGTGTCAGTATCGCCAATGTGGCCACTCGATGGGTATTAGATTATCAGTTTGTTGGAGCTGTGATCATCGGTAACTGATGTTCTTCCGATTACCCTTTCATCCGGTCTCAGGTCCAACTTCCAGGGGCGCGTTTGGGTCTTTCCGAACATTCTGTGGACAACAGCCGTGTCTTCGAATTCAATTTGACTGAAGAGGATCGCACGGCCATCGATGTCGTCTTGGAGCGTTCAAATGGCCGTCGGATGATTACTACAATTGGTGACTGCGGAGCTGAATATCGTTAAGATAGATATTCTCGTGTCGCTCTGATTTTTTTAATAGAACGACTGATGCTTGATATCGGATTTACCTTAACGTCTTCTTTCACCTGTGAAAATCGTTGCCCTGAGGACTCCCCTATGCGGAGCATTTATATATTGCTCGTCATATGGTATTCATTTTTAAAGGCAGCTCATGACTTATCAGGTACAAAACTGCATGGGAATCTATAACGAAAGATCAGAACTCCCACATATCCTGAAACGTTTCGGGATTTGAGTGAACTCCATTCTCTCTAGATATATAAGAGCCGAACCCAGTTGAGCTATTTCAACCCTATATAAAGGCCTTTGGTTTAGAACCCCCGTGCCCCTTTCACCCACAGATGTTATGTGTAACCACTTCCTTCGACTCGTTTCAAAGAATATTTTTGATGCGACTCTGAAGCAGATATTTAATAGATACTGTACATACCTGATGCGCAAACGGATTTTGCTAGACAAAAAAGATCGGATTATCGGCTCTCTATATGAACCTCGCAATTCCCTGAATATATACTTCCTGTCCGATAGAGGTCACTATTAGCGAAACTAGGAATCATTCTCGTAGGCCTGCCGATTTCAATTTCTAATTCGAAGCTGTATTCTTTTAAATGTGTTCCGATCTCGAGTTCATGATATCTTCAGAAGGTTTCTATTTTATGACAAAATCGAGCCTGTCAGGTAAGAGGTCCGATGATTATCCGACAGGCGTCGTTGCAGAAAAAGGCGGTGATGGCCAAAGCGGGCCATCAAATTTCGGAACTAGCACTGAACTTCATCTCCGACGCGCGTACCTAAGGCTACAGCATCACTATGCATGACAAACCGCTATGATGTAGTATTCTTCCGCTGATTTTCAGCATCTATGTCATCTTTTGCTGTGATTACTACTACATCGATGCATATAAACAGCTTCAGAATTGCCATTCACGCATCGAAGTCTGGAAAACATTGCACTATGCGTCCACGGCCCCCTTTTTCCTCTTTGTTCGGCTGCGCAGCCCCTTCTTGCTGTATATTGGTAATCGTATATGGTATCGAGTTTGCCCAAACATTGGATGTGCGGGATTCAAAGAGCTCATTTCAATGTTCCAGAGTTTGTGTTCTTGACTCTTTGATCGGACCCTCGTGGACTGCTTCTTGCTTCTTCTCTCATGGACCCGACATTTTCTTCGCAAAGTTTTCTATCGCATCTCACCAGCTCTTTTTGTAAAAGAGGGAGAACAACGAGTGCTTTCTCCAAGTTATTCCAGAGAATTGGTTCCCGATGTCCCGTTTGAATTCTGTGATCTCGAACGGTGAAGATATTGACGAAGTGAGTCTCCCAATCGCCCTGATGCTCATTCTTACTCGGTTGTATGTTCAGCTTTTCTCAAACTCCACTGTTCAGCCAAATATAAAGATAGACCCAGTGAAAGCATTACCGGTATCTAATTTGTCTAGAAAGAAAGCAGAAGTCCATTTGTATAAGAAGGAATGCATTGTAAGTTTCAGTCTCGACTCATTCGCTCTCTAATATTGTGTGCAAGAAAATATGGAATAGAGAGAAGAAGAGGCTTGGGTATCGACCATGGAATGGTGACGAAACTTGGGACAAATACTCGTACGAAGTCTTGGTCCCTCTCAAAGAGGCATTGTTGAAGGAGAGCGACCAAATTATTTACGCGGCGAGAGCTATGACCAATGGTGAATTCAAACAACTATTGTATCTGGAGTACCCATGGGTACAGGCCTTAGAGAAAAGTGTGAAACCACATAGTCGAACGAATAGGCCTGTAGATATCAGTGATTGGTCTCTCAAGGCTCCGACGTTCGACGAAGCAGTACGTCATCCGTACATTTACGTTTTATTGCTAAGCATGTCCTACAGTGTTAGAAATGCCAGATAGCAGGATTGTGCTGCGAAGCAAAAGCGATTGGGGTGCCGATTAACTCCCCAGAAGGACGCAAAAGGTACAAGGGACTTCGCTGCAAATACTGCATCGCTTCTCGATCTAGGGATTGGGATGCAGGAATGCAATGTTGGAATAACTCCTCGTCGAGACGAGTGCCACACACACCTTCCACCAAATGGAAACGTGAGAAGGAAGAGAAAGCAGGAGAGGAAGAGACACGTACCAACCAAAGATTGCGTGGTCCTGAATTTCTCCGTGACGATGATTCTGGCGAACTACCACTTTCCGCTTCACAAGAGAGTACTTTGACAATACATAATCGAATCCCAGCCTCTGTCTCCATAATCGACCAATTACTGGATGATATCAAAGGAGGTTACCATTCTCTTGCCGAGGAGATGCAAGCCGAACGTACAAGGCTCGCTGCAGAGGTCGAATCAATGAAAAGACAACTGTCGGATTCGAATGATGAAATGAAGACGATCAAACGAGAGCTTGCGGAAAGCAGGAGATCGGAAGTAGAGGCTAGAGAGGACTGTCGAATAATGGAGAAGAGACTTTCGATGATGAAAAAAATGGCTGATAAAGCGGAAACGGCGCTTGCGAGTTAGAGGACCCCATGAAAGAGCTGTTTGCGACAGCGGGGGGACTGTGATATTCTATGGTAGCGACAGAATGCTGTGAAAGTAATCCTAACCAAGTGTCAATGGCAGAAATGATGACGTCTGATTACGAAGAGACTGTAACACACGACAGATAAATTAAGCCCATCGCAGCGATCTATTTGCCGGTCCTCCGGAGTTTCCGCAATGACTTTATTGGTCCAGCTGAAGATGCCTCATCTATATCTCCCTCAGCGAGTGAACTCGACATCACTACAGGTTCCGGATCCTCTGAACAGCCTCGGGCCAGGAAACGGTCAAGTGGATGGTTCCAGAAACTTTTGCAATCTTTATCCCGGATATCAGGGAAATTTCGCGCAGGTACGAATGTTTTCCGGAGAGGAGAGGGACACGATGGGAATGTAATATTCAAAGTCCCCTGCTTCAAGTTCTGAACTTCCATCTCGAGCAGGGAGATCTGCTGTTCCTGTTCCTTGAAGCGACTATAAATAATTTCGAAGAACTCGGCATGAGAAAAGATATGCATTTCGTCTAGAGACAAACTCTGTATAACGTGTGATAGCGTTTCAGTGTTGTAAGAAGGGGAAACGGACAGAAATCTCTGATGACATTGGATCAATATCCATAGTATCACAGGACAGATTGGCAGGCGGGATGATGAGCTCAAATCTGTTGATGCCGCTGTTTCAAAGTCTTTCCCCCAAATCCCTGTTTTGTTCCAAAGTTCAAGATACTTCAGGGCAGAGTGAGATGATGGAAGCTCATCGGCCGGATCCCATACCCAATCGCCCTGATGTTCCTTCAAACCACGCGTCCAGTGGTATAGCGTGATACCGCCCTCTATCTGCCCCTCGTGGAGCTTAAATCCTTTATACCCCTTCAAAACCCATCTCTTCCAGTCTAGATGCAACCATATGAACATTTTATCAGAAAGGACTATCTTAGAACGCACCAAGCTTAACGGGATCCTTCTCATACTCTTCTTTTCCGTACGAATCCCAAAACTCCTCAACATTCCCTGGATCAGAAAGAAGCCAACCCAGATGATATCTCACGAGCGCCCTGTCGAACGTCTTGCATCGCCATGTATGCTTCATTCCCACACCCATGGCTCTCCGAGCTGCTCTCAGCATGGCATCGCACAGCCGCGCAACATGAAGTATCCCTCCTTTCAACTCATCCCATTCCTTCTTCTGAAACTTTGCGTCAACAGAGAGAACCAGCTGGAGAGATGTCCATTGAAAGTCGGCAGCGAACATGAGAGGGATACGGTATGGAGTAGGGATGTCCGTCGTTGATCCGTCTCCCAATGTGACGGTAGTCCACCGGCCTCGGTGGGGCGGTCCACCCGGAACGGAGAAGCAATGCGTGACGAGGAATTTGATGATGTCAGCTTTCGACCAATCAACGGTGTCGAGATAGTCGAGTTCAGCAGGGTGTCTCCAACCATATATATCATCCAGTTTCGACAAGGGGGAGCGCGAAAGAGGGAAGATGATATCGTTGTCAGAAGGCCCTTCCTTTTTTACGACAGCAACAGGAAATGATTTATAGTTTCGTACTTTTTTCTGGAGCGTTCGGTGGCCGGGACTTGGTTTTGAGCTGTATGACTCATTGGCAATTCGTACCATACTGTTGTATGCGCTGAGAGGGTACATGTGAGACAAAAATTTATGGTGGTTGCAATATCACGCGGCTTACCGTCTGAGACGTGACGGCCTGAGGTCGTTGCTTCGAATGCAGTGGGGCCCACGGCGATCCCAAGTCTGAACAGAACAAAAGGCTGGTGGTAGAAGAGAACTGGCGACCTTCCCGAAATGGAAGTCACCGTCTTGATTTCATACCGTGGTGACGACTTGTCTCGGCTCGGAATTGAACGATACCGCCGTTTCAAATATCTGATAGATGGAAGTGATATTCTGATTTTAACCCTCCAGTGAGTAAACGTCAGGCGTGGCGAAATCATTCAGCGTTTAAATTTAGAATTTACAGAACGCATACCACGGACCGCGGTGGCAACTGGGTCTGAGACTCCGGCGAACCTCAGCAACGCAGCACTTGGCTCTATGGAGAACAAACCCCCATTAACTCTTCAGAGCGGACAATTTCCCAATATCGAGTATTCGAATCGTTGGAGCTTTTCATAAGGTTTCTGATCTTAAATTTCGACATATACTGGTAGAGACAAGGAAAGGTCTGCACAAGCCTTAAAACAATGTTTCACTTAAATCACCCGATTTGACATATTCAACATGCAATTCGAATCTGTCGACATCATCTACTATGTGGTCTGCCATGCTTAACGACATACTGGCTCGGTGCGATCTTTATCCACTTCAAATGCGAGTATGGGATCGGGAGCCGCTTCATGAAAAGAGACAAATTGAAACTTACCGAGATATTGGCACGTATAGTATGGCCGAATTTGCGAAGCTTTTATTTCCTCCTGCAGGGTCCTAATAGTGATGCATCGTTGTTTGATAGATCGGCAGTAGAGAAATTCGAACTTCGTGAGCCTGGATGGGATGGCATTGAGCCCTGCAACATTGAGAAACTTTACAGTGTTAAGCTCCCACCTTCGTTGGACATTTACAAGCCAACTTGCTTGACCCTAGGTCATTAGAATATCGGCGAGTTCATGTGTACACAATCGGTCTTATAACTTCTTAGTATCCATTCCAACATTTATCTCATTCAAAAAACCTTGTTTTCTCAAGATCATAATTCACCGTATCGTTTTTATGCTTCAATCCAATGGCATTGTATCTGAAATAGTTCGGATTGGATATTCCCTGAAATAACAGCCTGAGCAATGACAACGCGATTAAAACTTTGTCTGAACGATGAGGTCCTGTCCTAAACCAGCTGGATGAAGAATTTCAGGGAAGTGCGGCCTTGAAAACCGTTCGTCTGCAGACCCACAGCTTTTCTCAGGATGTCAATATTCTCAGAAGGTCATTCCCAGACATGTTCACAGGACATTTCCTCGAATCACAGTGGCAGTACACTTTTACATTTTAATATATAAATATATACAACCTCTGCATTCTCAAAACTGGTAATTATACAGAGTATAGGAGTACCGCTCCCCACCTCATTTCGAATGACATCATCGCCAGATTTGACCGAAAATTGTGTGCGCTGGCGTGTAGCCTGCCTTGCCTATTCCTGTAAAATCATTCTTTACTGCAGTCGTTCTTCCGGAAAAACACGAATCACATAACCAAAGGATATTATATAGTTGTATCCTTCCAAAGGCTTGAAACGAAATATCGGATCCTATCTTTGTGGGCTTTAATTGTCCCGACCATTACAGTCTGGGGTAGGAGAGTGCCTCTTCCAAAAAGGGTGTAGAAGGCAGCCATCGTCCGAACTAGGAGTCGCTCTTAGTTCTAGGAGAGCGGGTGTATTAAGTCTACGAGTCTGATCGCCTACTATGCTTAGCGCCAGGTTCAGCTTTCATCACTCCACATTATGTTAATTGTGAAGTCTTCCCTTGGTGTTTAAACGGAAGTATCGCCACCACTGGTATGTGAACGAAGAAAGGCTACTCGTTATTAGGATACGCCGATCAAGATACCCTAAAGAAAGAAAGAAACGAACATCAGTCATATGATAAATCCGTCAGAACTCCTACAAAGTTCGATATTTGCCTTTGCCCCTCATCGACATCGTTGTTAACAATTTTCTGGTCTCGCAGTCACCAGGCGCGCTTTCCTGTCTCGAGTTCCTAGACTGCGAATACCCCGAAGGAAGCGTAACGAACACCTCCGGCGATAGCAAAGGCACACTCTTTCTCTCCGGCACTGACTCGTGGTCTCCGTACCACAACCCTGAGGAGCCAGAAGAGGGGGCAGAGGAAGTGCCCGTCGAGGAGTAAGCCGACCATCGGCTCCCCGAAACACGACCATTGATATCAGCTGCTCCCAACAAAGATCGCTTGGTGTCATTACTGGGAACTATCTGCCAAGGGAGCGTCAACCATGGCGATTTCACTGTAGGCATCAGCTCGGCCTTGGGATGTACCTCGGGCGTCGGCGGCATGATGCAGAGGCTGAAGGAACACTCGCGCTTCTCCTGTTCTTTCTCCTCGGTCAAGCTATCTCGTTCAACAAATTTCCACCGTACTACTTTCCCTTCTTTGATGCCTAGTACTCGATTTAACCATTTTTGAAAGCGTTCCTGCTTTCTACGAAATAGACAAGGAGAATCAGACCGAGAAAACTGAAGAACCCAATGACAAGGACGATTAGCTGGTGGCGCGGAAGAGAATAGTCTTTAGGTGAAGTCTGCGGCGTTGCAGTGTGCGAAGGACCGACAGAAACTGGGGATGAAAGGTCGGAAGTGGCAGAAGGAGTTGTAGGTGTAATAAGGTCGTGTTGCTGCTTCGCCAAAGATACTGAGGTTAAGATAATTACCAGGCCCGGTCCTACTCGAATTGGGTTGGTACTATTAGGCATTTGTACCGTCGAAGATGAGCTGGATAGGATATAAATGCTACTCGCCGCATCTTGCAGTGTCGGAGTCAGACTGGGCGACTCGGTATAGCTTGGCGAGTGCCACAAGTAGCTCCTGGTGGTAGGCGATGCCAGGAATGCAGATATAGCATCCTCCGTCGGATCCTTGCTATGAGATTCCGTCGGTATTGCACTTGTTGGCTCCTCGGTTTGCGCATCCGACCTTGGAGTTGGCGACGGCGCCTGAGTATCGTCCTGAGAGTTTGATGTCATGATCTGCGAATACTGAGTTTCGGCATCCGGGAGTGCTGGAGTAGGGGTAACGCCATCAGAGATAGTGTAACCCCTCTCAGTGTCTGGAAGATGGAACATGTCGACAATGAAACATCTGCGTACGAAAACGGTTAAAACTACGGCTACCTTAACGGTCACATGATACGGTCCGAATATACCGTACCCTCGCGCCTACGCTCCCAGTGGCCCTTCAGGTCGAATTGAGGACATCAGTAAGACTCCCCGAATATCTAGGAGAGATATAAAAAAGAGATTTATCAATATGGGAGGATATGAGAGACATAAGGGCATCGTTGATTAAAAGACAGTAGGGTGTTAGAAGGAATGTGGTGCCAAGGCAAGGAATGTGGTTGTCTCGTGGATATGGACGCTAGCAGTACAAGCATATGGATGTATGGGCGGGGTAGGATAGACGAGATGGTGGTGGATAGTTAAGAGAGAAACAAGTCCCATTTAAGTGCCCTATCCCGGCTCCTCGCCTCTTTCATAGCTAAACACAATTACGTTACCACTATATCAGTGTTCAAAAGCATGGACTGGAGTCTAGTAGATGGTGATAAGTTGTTTAAAATAATTAGATACAGTTCT